GTTCATGTAGCTTAATCAACTAAAGCAAAGCACTGAAAATGCTTAGATGGATTTCTGATCCCATAAACAAAAAGGTTTGGTCCTGGCCTTATAGTTAATTAGAGGTAAAGTTACACATGCGAATATCCATAACCCAGTGTCAAATCCCTAGGTTTTATGCTAAACCCTAAGGAGAGGGCATCAAGCACATACCTTATAGCTAAAGACGCCTTGCCCAGCCACGCCCCCACGGGATTCAGCAGTGATAAAAATTAAGCAATGAACGAAAGTTTGACTAAGTTATACCTCTCAAGGGTTGGTAAATTTCGTGCCAGCCACCGCGGTCATACGATTAACCCAAACTAATTATTCTCGGCGTAAAACGTGTTTATAAGACTCAACAATAGAATTAAAACCTGATTAATATGTGAAAATTCATTATCAGACTTAAATTCAATAACGAAAGTAATTCTAATAAAATAATACACGATAGCTAAGACCCAAACTGGGATTAGATACCCCACTATGCTTAGCCCTAAACCTAAATACTTAAATAACAAAACTATTTGCCTGAGAACTACTAGCCACAGCTTAAAACTCAAAGGACTTGGCGGTACTTTATATCCACCTAGAGGAGCCTGTTCTATAATCGATATACCCCGCTATACCTCACCACCTCTTGCTAATCCAGCCTATATACCGCCATCTTCAGCAAACCTTAAAAAAGAATAAAAGTAAGCAAGATTATCGCCATAAAAACGTTAGGTCAAGGTGTAGCCTATGAGGTGGGAAGCAATGGGCTACATTTTCTTTTTAAGAACACTACGAGACCCTTTATGAAAACTAAAGGGCAAAGGAGGATTTAGTAGTAAATTAAGAATAGAGAGCTTAATTGAATAGAGCAATGAAGTACGTACACACCGCCCGTCACCCTCCTCAAATTGAACAAACAAACATTATACATAATTACAACAAAAATTCATGAGAGGAGATAAGTCGTAACAAGGTAAGCATACTGGAAAGTGTGCTTGGATTAATCACAGTGTAGCTTAAACCCAATAAAGCATCTGGTCTACACCCAGAAGACTCCACACCCAATGGACGCTATGAGCTAACCCTAGCCCTATAAATATTAGACTCAACTATTCTCATCAATCAACTAAAACATTCAAACTAAAGCAGTATTGGAGAAAGAAACTAAATTTAAGGAGCTATAGAGACAGTACCGTAAGGGAAAGATGAAAGAAATGTTTAAAGCACATAAAAGCAAAGATTAAATCTTGTACCTTTTGCATAATGAACTAACTAGAAAACACCTAACTAAAAGAATTTAAGCTAGGAACCCCGAAACTAAACGAGCTACCTAAGAGCAATTTTAAGGATGAACCCGTCTATGTAGCAAAATAGTGGGAAGACTTCTAGGTAGAGGTGAAAAGCCAAACGAGTTTAGTGATAGCTGGTTACCCAAAAAAGAATTTCAGTTCTACTTTAAGATTACCCTAAGAAAACCAAATCAAAATGTAATCTTAAAATATAGCCTAAAGAGGGACAGCTCTTTAGGCTAAGGAGAAAACCTTAAATAGTGAGTAAGCCAAAAAAACAGACCATAGTTGGCTTTAAAGCAGCCACCAATAAAGAAAGCGTTCAAGCTCAACACTAAGAACCTTACAATACCTAAAACTTAAAACGACCTCCTATTTAAAAATTGGGTCAATCTATTTGTTTATAGATGAGACAATGTTAGTATGAGTAACAAGAATTTTTTTTCTCCGAGCACAAGCCTATAACAACCCGGATAACCATTGCTAGTTAACATATATAAGTTTACCATCACAATGTAAAACTCACTTTTCACTTAATGTTAACCCAACACAGGTGTGCTTAAAGGAAAGATTAAAAGAAGTAAAAGGAACTAGGCAAACAAGAATCCCGCCTGTTTACCAAAAACATCACCTCTAGCATTACAAGTATTAGAGGCAATGCCTGCCCAGTGACATTAGTTTAACGGCCGCGGTATCCTGACCGTGCAAAGGTAGCATAATCACTTGTTCCTTAATTAGGGACTAGAATGAATGGCTTAACGAGGATTCAACTGTCTCTTACTTCTAATCAGTGAAATTGACCTTCCCGTGAAGAGGCGGGAATACTCTAATAAGACGAGAAGACCCTATGGAGCTTTAATCCCATAGCTTAACCAAATAATATAAACCGACCTACTGGTAATAAAACATTTAAAGCATAAGCTCTGGATTTTGGTTGGGGTGACCTCGGAGAATAAAAAATCCTCCGAATGACTATAGCCTAGACACACAAGTCGAAGCATTAACTGTCCAATTGACCCAAAAACATTTGATCAACGGACTAAGTTACCCTAGGGATAACAGCGCAATCCTATTCAAGAGTCCATATCGACAATTAGGGTTTACGACCTCGATGTTGGATCAGGACATCCCAATGGTGTAGAAGCTATTAAAGGTTCGTTTGTTCAACGATTAAAGTCCTACGTGATCTGAGTTCAGACCGGAGCAATCCAGGTCGGTTTCTATCTATTAACAATTTCTCCCAGTACGAAAGGACAAGAGAAATGGAGCCCCCTTAACAAAAGCGCTCCAAACTAATTAATGAAACTATCTAAATTATAGTAAGTATGTACACTTTACCCCTAGAACAGGGGATTGTTAGGGTGGCAGAGCCCGGAAATTGCGAAAGGTTTAAAACCTTTTACTCAGAGGTTCAAGTCCTCTCCCTAACAGTGCACTTTATTAATACCCTCACACTTCTACTACCTATCCTAATCGCTATAGCCTTTCTAACACTAGTAGAACGAAAAATACTAGGCTATATACAACTACGAAAGGGGCCAAATATCGTAGGGCCATACGGAATTCTACAACCATTCGCCGACGCAATAAAACTGTTCATTAAAGAACCCCTACGACCCTTAACTACCTCAACATCCCTATTTATTTTAGCCCCCACACTATCACTCACCCTAGCGTTTAGCCTATGAGTTCCCCTACCAATACCCCACCCCCTAATCAACATGAATATGGGAATCTTATTTATCCTAGCCACCTCAAGCCTAGCTGTCTACTCAATCTTATGGTCAGGATGAGCATCAAACTCAAAGTACTCTTTATTTGGAGCATTACGAGCAGTAGCACAAACAATCTCATACGAAGTAACAATAGCAATTATCCTATTATCAGTTCTCCTAATAAGTGGATCATTCTCACTCCAAACCTTTATTACAACCCAAGAACCTATATGACTATTAATTTCATCATGACCACTAGCTATAATATGATACATTTCAACCCTAGCTGAAACCAACCGGGCCCCATTCGACCTAACAGAGGGTGAATCAGAACTTGTCTCTGGCTTTAACGTAGAATACGCCGCAGGCCCATTCGCCCTATTCTTCATAGCCGAATACACTAACATTATTATAATAAATGCCCTATCAACAATCGTATTTCTAGGGCCAGCACATGACCCGAACTACCCAGAAATATATACAACTAACTTCATAATCAAAACACTCCTACTCACCTCAATATTTTTATGAGTTCGAGCATCCTACCCACGATTTCGATATGACCAACTAATACACCTCCTATGAAAAAATTTCCTACCCCTAACTCTAGCCCTCTGTACATGACATATCTCAATACCAATATTCATAGCAAGTATACCACCTTACACTTAGAAATATGTCTGAAAAAGAGTTACTTTGATAGAGTAAATTATAGAGGTTTAAGCCCTCTTATTTCTAGGACAACAGGAATTGAACCTATACTTTAGAATTCAAAATTCTACGTACTACCTTTATACTATATTCTACACCAGCTAAAAGTAAGGTCAGCTAATAAAGCTATCGGGCCCATACCCCGAAAATGTTGGTTTAAACCCTTCCCGTACTAATTAACCCATTCACCCTCCTCATCATTTACTTCACAATCTTTTCAGGCCCAATAGTCACTATACTCAGCACCAACTACTTTCTTATATGAATTGGTCTTGAAATAAACTTACTAGCTATTATCCCACTTATAACTGACAAAAAAAACCCACGATCCACAGAAGCAGCAACAAAATACTTCATTACACAAGCCACAGCTTCTATAATCTTTCTACTAGCCATTACAATAAACTTCAAATTTTTAGGAACATGAATAATTAATTCTCAGTCAGACAACACAATCATTACCTTAATATTTATCTCCCTAGCAATCAAACTAGGCCTAGCACCCCTACACTCTTGACTACCAGAAGTAACCCAAGGAATCCCACTAAAAACTAGCATCATTCTTCTAACATGACAAAAACTAGCACCAATAGCAATCCTATTTCAGACATATGAACTGATAAATACATATCTACTAACAACCTCCGCCCTCATCTCAGTATTAATTGGAGCATGAAATGGACTTAACCAAACACAAACCCGAAAAATCATGGCCTATTCATCCATCGCACACATGGGATGGATGGTGGCTATTCTACCCTATAACCCACTATTAACTATAATAAACTTAACCCTATATATCCTACTGACACTAACCATAATTATAATTATAAAAACATACTCACTTACCTCAATCAAAACAATATCCCTCCTGTGAAACAAAATACCAACAATACTTCCCCTGACAACCCTAACCCTACTATCCATAGGAGGCCTTCCACCATTAACAGGGTTTCTCCCAAAATGACTTATCATCTCAGAACTTTTAAAAAATAATAGCCACATCCTAGCCACGCTAATAGCCATAGCAGCACTGATTAACCTATTTTTCTACACACGCTTAATTTACTCCACATCCCTAATTACCTTCCCAACAAACAACACTTCAAAAATATTTCTACACCACACCCACATAAAAAATCACACCGTTCTATCAACAGCAACCATTCTAAGCACTATAACCCTACCCCTATCAACTATACTAACATAAGAAGTTTAGGATAATAAGTCCGAGAGCCTTCAAAGCCCTTAGTAAACATACAAGTTTAACTTCTGCCTAAGGACTGTAAGTCTACATCTTACATCTAATGAATGCAAATCAATTGCTTTAATTTAAGCTAAATCCTCACTAGATTGGCAGGACTTAAACCTACGAAATTTTAGTTAACAGCTAAATACCCAACTACTGGCCTCAATCTACTTCTCCCGCCTATCAGAAAGGGGGCGGGAGAAGCCTTAGTAGAGTATGTTATCTACACCTTCGAATTTGCAATTCGATGTGATTATCACCTTAAGACCTGGTAAAAAGAGGCCTCAAACCTCTGTCTTTAGATTTACAGTCTAATGCTTACTCAGCCATTTTACCTATGTTCATTAACCGCTGATTATTTTCAACCAACCACAAAGACATCGGAACCCTATATCTAATATTCGGGGCCTGAGCGGGTATAGTAGGTACAGCCTTAAGTATTCTCATCCGAGCAGAGCTAGGCCAACCAGGAGCCCTACTAGGTGATGACCAAATCTACAACGTAATCGTCACAGCCCATGCATTCGTAATAATTTTCTTTATGGTAATACCAATAATAATTGGGGGGTTTGGAAACTGACTGGTCCCCCTAATAATTGGAGCACCAGACATAGCATTCCCACGAATAAATAACATAAGTTTCTGACTTCTACCACCGTCATTTCTCCTACTTCTAGCATCATCAATAGTTGAAGCCGGGGCAGGAACAGGATGAACTGTATACCCCCCACTAGCAGGAAACTTAGCCCACGCTGGAGCATCGGTAGACCTAACAATCTTTTCACTACACCTAGCAGGAGTCTCATCTATCCTAGGAGCTATTAACTTCATCACCACAATTATTAACATAAAACCACCAGCTATAACACAATATCAAACCCCATTGTTCGTATGATCCGTTCTTATTACAGCTGTCCTACTACTTCTCTCACTACCAGTACTAGCTGCAGGCATTACAATACTTCTAACAGACCGAAATCTAAACACAACCTTTTTTGACCCTGCTGGAGGAGGAGACCCAATCCTCTACCAACACTTATTCTGATTCTTCGGACACCCAGAAGTCTATATTCTTATCCTACCGGGCTTCGGAATCATTTCACACATTGTCACATACTACTCAGGAAAAAAAGAACCATTCGGCTATATAGGAATAGTATGAGCAATAATGTCGATTGGGTTTCTAGGATTTATTGTATGAGCCCACCATATATTTACAGTAGGACTAGACGTGGACACCCGAGCATACTTCACATCTGCCACCATAATCATCGCCATTCCAACCGGGGTAAAAGTATTTAGCTGACTAGCAACACTCCACGGGGGTAATATTAAGTGATCCCCAGCTATGCTATGAGCATTGGGATTTATTTTCCTATTTACAGTAGGCGGACTTACGGGAATTGTACTGTCAAACTCATCCCTAGATATTGTCCTCCATGACACCTACTATGTAGTAGCCCACTTCCACTATGTATTATCAATAGGAGCAGTATTTGCAATCATAGCAGGGTTTGTCCACTGATTCCCACTATTCTCGGGTTACACTCTTGATGACACATGAGCAAAAGCCCACTTTGCCATCATATTTGTAGGAGTAAATTTAACATTCTTCCCACAACATTTCTTAGGCCTATCAGGTATGCCACGACGATACTCAGATTACCCAGACGCTTACACAACATGAAACACAGTATCATCCATAGGATCTTTCATCTCACTAACCGCCGTACTAGTAATAATTTTTATGATCTGAGAGGCTTTCGCCTCTAAACGAGAAGTCCTAACAGTGGAACACACATCCACCAATCTTGAATGACTCCACGGGTGTCCTCCACCATACCACACATTTGAGGAACCAACATTTGTTAAAGTAAAATAAGAAAGGAAGGATTCGAACCCCCTAAAATTGGTTTCAAGCCAACTCCATAACCTCTATGTCTTTCTCAATGAGATATTAGTAAAATTATTACCTAACTTTGTCAAAGTTAAATTATAGACTAACCTCTATATATCTTATATGGCTTATTCTTCTCAACTAGGCTTACAAGACGCAACATCCCCAATTATAGAAGAGTTAATAAATTTCCACGACCACACCCTAATAATCGTATTCTTAATTAGTTCTCTAGTTCTTTATATTATTACTCTTATATTAACGACAAATCTTACCCACACTAATACTATAGACGCACAAGAAGTGGAAACTGTCTGAACAATCCTACCAGCCGTAATTCTAATCATAATCGCCCTTCCATCCCTACGAATTTTGTATATAATAGATGAAATCAACAACCCAGTCCTTACAGTAAAAACTATAGGACATCAATGATATTGAAGCTATGAATACACTGACTACGAAGAACTGTGCTTCGACTCTTATATGATTCCTACAAACGAACTAAAACCAGGAGATCTACGACTGCTAGAAGTAGACAATCGAGTGGTTCTACCAATAGAACTACCAATTCGCATATTAATTTCATCTGAAGACGTCTTACACTCATGAGCTGTCCCATCCCTAGGATTAAAAACTGATGCCATCCCTGGGCGACTAAATCAGGCTACAATTTCATCCAACCGACCTGGCCTATTCTACGGCCAATGCTCAGAAATCTGTGGCTCCAATCATAGCTTTATACCCATCGTATTAGAAATAGTCCCACTAAAAAACTTTGAAAACTGATCAGAATCAATAATCTAGAACCATTATGAAGCTAAGAGCGTTAGCCTTTTAAGCTAAAGTTAGGGAGGGGTCCCCATCCCCATAATGATATGCCACAACTAGACACATCTACATGATTTGTTACAGTCTTAGCCTCCTTAATCACACTATTCATCTTAATACAATTGAAAGTATCTTCACTAAATTTCTATACAAATCCATCTAACAAAAATATCAACTACTTAAAATCAAATAACCCTTGAGAACTAAAATGAACGAAAATCTATTTGCCTCTTTCATTACCCCTACAATAATAGGACTCCCAATTGTAATTATTATCATTATGATTCCATCAATATTATTGACGACCTCAAAACGCCTGATCAACAACCGAGTACACACCTTTCAACAATGACTTATTAAACTAGTCACTAAGCAGATAATAATGATTCACTCACCCAAAGGACGTACATGAGCACTTATACTAGTGTCTCTAATTATATTCATTGGATCAACAAACCTACTAGGCTTATTACCTCACACATTTACTCCGACAACCCAACTTTCTATAAACTTAGGCCTAGCTATCCCCCTGTGAGCAGGAACTGTAATCTTAGGGTTTCGACACAAAATAAAACACTCTTTAGCCCACTTCCTACCCCAAGGAACCCCTATCTCACTAATCCCCATACTTATCATTATTGAAACAATCAGCCTTTTTATTCAACCCATAGCCCTAGCAGTCCGTCTAACAGCTAACATCACTGCAGGTCACCTACTCATACACTTAATTGGAGGGGCTACCCTAGTACTCACAACCATTAGTCCACCCACAGCTACCATCACATTTATTATCCTAGTTCTACTGACCATCCTAGAATTTGCAGTAGCCCTAATTCAAGCCTACGTATTTACCCTACTTGTAAGCCTTTATTTACATGACAACACATAATGACCCACCAAACACACGCCTATCACATAGTTAACCCAAGCCCATGACCACTCACAGGAGCCTTCTCAGCACTACTTTTAACCTCAGGCTTAGTAATATGATTTCACTACAACTCACTCACCCTGCTATACCTAGGTCTTCTATCAAATATACTTACAATATATCAATGATGACGAGACATTGTACGAGAAGGTACATACCAAGGCCACCACACACCAATTGTCCAAAAAGGACTTCGATATGGCATAATCCTGTTTATTGTATCAGAAGTGTTTTTCTTCGCTGGATTCTTCTGAGCTTTCTATCATTCCAGCTTAGTACCTACACACGACCTAGGCGGCTGCTGACCACCAACAGGCATCACACCATTAAACCCACTTGAAGTACCCCTACTAAACACCTCTGTCCTCCTAGCATCAGGGGTATCGATTACATGAGCCCATCACAGCCTTATGGAAGGAAAACGAAATAATATAAATCAAGCCCTACTTATTACAATTGCTCTAGGCATCTACTTTACAGTTTTACAGGCATCAGAGTACCTAGAGACATCCTTTTCTATCTCAGACGGAATTTATGGATCTACATTCTTTATAGCCACAGGATTCCACGGATTACACGTAATTATTGGCTCCACATTCCTAACAGTATGCTTTATACGCCAACTAAAATTCCACTTTACATCAAAACACCACTTTGGCTTTGAAGCCGCAGCATGATACTGACACTTCGTAGATGTTGTCTGACTATTCCTCTACGTATCAATCTATTGATGAGGATCCTACTTTCTTAGTATATTAGTACAATTGACTTCCAATCAGTTAGATCTAGACCCAACCTAGAATAAAGTAATAAACTTGATATTAACCACTATTACAAACATTACCCTATCCCTCACATTAATTACACTAGCCTTCTGACTACCCCAACTTAATATCTACACAGAAAAAGCAAGCCCCTATGAATGCGGGTTTGACCCAATAAGCTCAGCCCGACTTCCTTTCTCTATAAAATTTTTTCTTGTAGCAATCACTTTTCTCCTATTTGACCTAGAAATTGCCCTACTCCTCCCACTACCCTGAGCCATGCAAACAACAAACTTAATTCTAACCCTAATTATAGCCTTCTCGTTCCTAACCATCCTAGCACTAGGACTAGCCTATGAGTGAAAACAAAAGGGCCTAGAATGAACTGAATAACCCTGGTAATTAGTTTAATCAAAAACCAATGATTTCGACTCATTAAATTATGACTTATATCATAATTACCAAATGACAATAACAGTACTTAATATCTCGCTAGCATTCATCTTCTCCCTACTAGGGACCCTGATATTTCGATCCCACCTCATATCAACCCTCTTATGCCTAGAGGGCATGATACTAACCCTATTTATCATAACAGCCATCACCTCATTAAACTCACACTCAATAATTATGTACCCTATTCCCATTGTAATCCTAGTCTTTGCTGCATGTGAAGCAGCTGTGGGTCTAGCCCTCCTAGTAAAGGTCTCCAACACATACGGAACAGACTATGTACAAAATCTCAACCTACTACAATGCTAAAAATTATTGTCCCATCAATTATACTTATCCCGCTAACATGATTCTCAGAAAATAAGAAGGTATGAATCAACATTACTTCCTACAGCCTTATCATTAACATGATTGCCCTAACAACTCTGTGGCAAGAATGTTACTACTATAGCTTCTCCACAGTATTCTTCACAGACCCCCTCTCTTCACCCCTAACAATATTAACCACATGACTGCTCCCACTTATACTACTGGCTAGCCAAAATCACATAAAAAACCAGACCAATCTTAACAAAAAACTATATATCTCTATACTAATCACACTACAAATCCTCTTAGTATTAACTTTCTCAGCAAACGAATTAATCCTATTTTATATCCTGTTCGAAGCAACCCTGATCCCCACACTAATTATTATTACACGATGGGGTAATCAAACAGAACGACTAAATGCAGGCCTGTACTTCCTATTTTATACCTTAATCGGGTCAATCCCCCTATTAATTGCTCTACTATCAATACAAAACACACTAGGGTCCCTAAATTTCACTCTACTATCACTTAACACTTCACCACAAAATCCAACATGATCTAACTACATTTTATGACTAGCATGCATTATAGCGTTTATAGTTAAAATACCACTATACGGGGTTCACCTCTGACTCCCCAAAGCCCACGTAGAAGCCCCCATTGCAGGATCAATAATCCTTGCAGCCATCCTATTAAAACTAGGGGGATACGGAATGATACGAATAGCAATAGTACTAGAGCCGCTTACAAAAACCATGGCCTACCCATTTATTATCCTATCCCTATGAGGAATAATTATAACTAGTTCAATCTGTCTACGACAAACAGATCTAAAATCACTAATCGCATACTCTTCAGTAAGCCACATAGCTCTAGTTATTGCAGCTATTATAATCCAAACCCCATGAAGCTTTATGGGAGCCTCAGCATTAATAATTGCACACGGACTAACATCATCCCTCATATTCTGCTTAGCTAATACAAATTACGAACGTATTCACAGCCGAACAATAATCATAGCCCGGGGACTACAAACAATCTTTCCCCTCATAGCCCTGCTATGATTCCTAACAAGCCTAACCAACCTAGCCCTCCCACCAACAATTAATCTCATCGGTGAGCTCCTAATTACAGTATCCCTATTCTCATGGTCAAATATCTCCCTAATCCTCGTAGGACTTAATATTCTAATTACAGCTCTCTATTCCCTCTACATAGTAATCATAACTCAACGAGGGAAACTATTAATCCACATAAATAACCTATACCCCTCACATACACGAGAGCTAACACTAATAGTACTTCACCTAATGCCACTAGCCCTATTAACAATCAACCCTAAATTAATTTTAGGCCTAACACTATGTAGGTATAGTTTATAAAAACATCAGACCGTGAACCTGAAGACAGGGTATTAAAACCCTTATCTACCAAGAAAGTATGCAAGAGCTGCTAACTCATGCCCCCGTGTATAAAAACACGGCTTCCTTACTTTTATAGGATAGAAGTAATCCATTGGCCTTAGGAGCCAAAAACTTGGTGCAACTCCAAATAAAAGTAATTAATACCATCACATCAACAATTATTCTAATCATATTTCTACTTATAATCCCAGTCGTCGCCACACTAACAAATAGCAAGCCACCTAACTTATCAATATACATCACATCATCAATTAAATACTCATTCTTTCTAAGCTTGATTCCCCTTTATGTACTATTCAATAATAACACAGAACTTCTAATCACCAGCTGACACTGAATCACCATTAACTCAATCGAGCTATCTATTAGCCTAAAATTTGATTTCTTCTGCATCATCTTTTTACCAGTAGCACTATATGTTACATGATCTATCATAGAGTTCTCATCGTGATACATACACTCAGACCCACACCTAGACCGATTTATAAAGTACCTCATCATATTTCTTATTACTATAATCATTCTCACCTCAGCTAACAACCTTCTCCAACTATTCATCGGATGGGAGGGTGTAGGAATTATATCATTCTTACTAATCGGCTGATGGTACGGACGATCAGACGCCAACACAGCAGCCCTACAAGCAATCCTATATAACCGAATTGGAGATATTGGCTTTATTCTAGCTATAGCTTGACTATGCCTAAATTGTAACTCATGGGAACTTCAACAGATTTTTACCACTGACAAACAAAATATTATCCCCCTAATAGGACTTCTACTAGCAGCCACAGGCAAATCAGCACAATTTGGACTTCACCCATGACTCCCGTCAGCCATAGAAGGCCCAACCCCAGTCTCAGCATTACTGCACTCCAGCACCATGGTAGTAGCAGGTATCTTTCTATTAATCCGATTTCATCCAATAACCTCCAACAATAATGTAATACTAACAGCTATACTATGCCTAGGATCAATAACCACACTATTTACAGCCATCTGCGCCCTCACCCAAAATGATATCAAAAAAATTGTAGCTTTTTCCACATCAAGCCAACTAGGACTTATAATAGTCACGCTAGGACTAAATCAACCTCACCTTGCTTTCCTACATATCTGCACGCATGCCTTCTTCAAAGCCATACTATTTATATGCTCAGGCTCCATTATTCACAGTCTGGGAGATGAGCAAGATATCCGAAAAATAGGAGGACTATTTACCCCCCTACCATTCACCTCCTCATGCCTAACTATTGGCAGCCTTGCCTTAACGGGCATACCATTCCTCACAGGATTTTATTCCAAAGATTTAATCATCGAGACAATAAACACGTGCCACACCAACGCCTGAGCCCTACTAATCACACTCGTAGCCACCTCTATGACAGCAGCCTACAGCCTACGAATCATTTTCTTCGCCCTAATAAATAAACCCCGATTTCAACCACTGATTACATTAAACGAAAATAATTCAAAGCTAACTAACCCCATCAAACGACTAGCCCTAGGAAGTATTTTTGCTGGATTTATTATTTCATACAACATACCCATCACCTTCACCCCACCAATAACCATACCCTGATACCTAAAAACCTCAGCTATCCTGGTCACAATTACAGGACTAATAATCTCCCTAGAACTTAGCAATTTAACGTACAACCTAAAAATAAACAAACCGCTGCCAACCAACACCTTTTCCACCATACTAGGGTATTTTACCACAGTAATTCACCGAATTGCCTCGATAAAACTACTAACTGAAAGCTTAAACAAAGCCCTCTACCTAATAGACCTTACACTAATAGAAAAGTCAATACCAAAAACAGTATCTACTTCCAACCTACTAGCCTCCCAAATACTAACAAACCAAAAAGGCCTAATTAAACTCTACTTCCTCTCATTCATCGTATCACTACTATCTATTCCCATTTTATTAACTAATTACCTCGTGTAATTTCAATAATAATAAAAATACCCATAAACAAAGTCCAACCAGAAACTACCATCAACCAAGCTGAACAACTATACAAAGCCGCCACCCCAGCTCCACCCTCCCCCATCAGACCTAACTCATCACCATCATAAACAACTCAACCCCCTATACTATTTAATTCTAAAATCAAATCAACACCCTCATAATATTTATTAACCACACTTATACCTAGCTCTATAAACATGCTTATAACTAAGATACCCAAAAATAATCAACTAGAGACCCAAGTCTCAGGATACTCATCAGCTGACATAGCAGTTGTGTAACCAAACACAACCATCATCCCACCTAAATAGATTAAAAACACCATTAAACCTAAAAAAGATCCACCAAACCCTAACACGGCCAAACAACCAGCACACCCACTAACAATTAAGCACAAACCACCATAAATAGGAGATGGCTTTAATGATGCCCCTAAACAACCCACAGCAATTAATGAACTTAAAATGAAAATGTATTCTGTCATAATTTCTACATAGACTCTAACTATGACTAATGACATGAAAAATCATCGTTGTAATTCAACTATAGAAACGCTAATGACAAACGTACGAAAAAATCACCCATTAATAAAAATTATTAACCACTCATTTATTGACCTTCCTGCCCCATCAAACATCTCATCATGATGAAACTTCGGATCCCTAATTGGACTATGTCTACTCATACAAATCCTAACTGGACTATTCCTAGCTATACATTACACATCAGATACAACCACAGCATTCTCATCAGTAACACACATCTGCCGAGATGTTAACTATGGCTGACTCATTCGCTACCTACATGCAAACGGAGCCTCAATATTCTTTATCTGCTTATTCCTCCACGTTGGACGAGGTATTTACTACGGGTCATATACCATGGTAGAAACCTGAAACATCGGTATTATCCTCCTATTTATAGTCATAGCTACAGCATTTATAGGGTATGTCCTACCATGGGGACAAATATCTTTCTGAGGTGCAACAGTAATTACAAACTTACTTTCAGCTATCCCATACATTGGTACAACACTAGTTGAATGGATCTGAGGAGGCTTCTCAGTAGATAAAGCCACACTTACACGCTTCTTCGCATTTCACTTTATTCTCCCATTCATTATCACAGCACTAGTCCTAGTACACTTACTATTTCTACACGAAACAGGATCTAACAACCCAACAGGACTAAACTCAGACGCAGACAAAATCCCATTTCACCCATACTACACAATTAAAGACCTACTAGGAGTATTTTTATTATTAATTACATTAATAATTCTAGTACTATTCTTCCCAGACATCCTTGGAGATCCAGACAACTACACTCCCGCAAACCCACTAAACACCCCAGCACATATCAAACCAGAGTGGTATTTCTTATTTGCATATGCCATCCTCCGATCAATCCCAAACAAACTAGGAGGTGTACTAGCCCTAATCCTCTCTATCTTAATCCTAGCAGTACTCCCACTCCTCCACACATCCAAACACCGAGCAATGACATTCCGACCACTGACACAATTTATATACTGACTACTAGTAGCCGACCTACTAATCCTAACCTGAATTGGAGGACAACCAGTAGAATACCCATTCATCATCATCGGCCAATTAGCCTCAATCATTTACTTTGCCACTATTGTCATCTTCATACCTATTGCAAGCATAATCGAAGACAGCATGCTAAAATTCGCCTAACAGTCCTGATAGTATAAAAAATTACTCTGGTTTTGTAAGCCAAAAATGAAGAAACACTCTTCTCAGGACATCAAGAAGGAAGGATATTCCCCCACCATCAGCACCCAAAGCTGAAATTCTAATTAAACTACTTCTTGTACATAAAATTATATAGTCCATAATACATTTATGTATATCGTACATTAAATTATATTCCCCTAGCATATAAGCATGTATTATTTAATTAATGAACTATTGACATATAATGTTTTATCAACATACCATGTACTACAACATGAATATTCTTTAATACATTAACTCAATGTCTTAGGACATACCTGCGTTATCTTACATACCCCATTTTAGTCATAGCCCTGCTTTTCCATATGACTATCCCCGTCCCCCCCAATCTCTAGTTCTACCATCCTCCGAGAAACCAGCAACCCGCCCACCTCTGCCCCTCTTCTCGCTCCGGGCCCATTTTAACTTGGGGGTGACTAATGTGAAACTTTACCAGGCATCTGGTTCTTACTTCAGGGCCATCGAATGTTTTATCGTCCATACGTTCCCCTTAAATAAGACATCTCGATGGTACGGGTCTAATCAGCCCATGCCCAACATAACTGTGGTCTCGTGCCTTTGGTATTTTTTATTTTTCGGTATGCTGTGACTCACCATAGCCGTCAAGGCATGAAGTTCACCTTATTCGTGTAGCTGGACTTATTATTCAAGTGTCATTTATCCTCATAGACAGTATATAAAGACATAATTATTAATGTTTTCTTGGACATATAACTTAAGAATCATATTTGATTTATTCTCCAAACCCCCCCTTCCCCCCAATTAACACCTTCCACTCTGCCAAACCCCAAAAACAGAGATTCCAATGCAATTTTATCCCACATTCTAGTAATTCTCCAAATATAACTCAAATTTCAGTATCTGTAAAATTTTCAAAAAACAGGGCCCGCGATTTCAAACCACCTATTCAAGCCTAATTTAACAAGTGTTACGACAACATAATATAT